AGTGAAATTTGCACATCTGTTTACCGTAAGAATGAATGAACACCGTCAACGGAAACCGAGTGGCTCAGTCGGTTCTTCTCGCGAGATTCCTTTCAAATATGCGCAAGTATTGTGGAAAGCATCATGGATGTCGCAGTAAGCCGCCGTGAAAAATTCTGCATTGTTGTCCCACAGGTAACTGAAAACACGTGGACGTTTTGGAATTCGGCTAACAGTTTGGCCAGTCTCGGTAAATGTTGAACAGCAGCACAACCTTTTTGTAATTCCTAAAGCTCTCCTTTCGATGTATGTATCGGAGTATCTCCAACGCAAACCGTGGGAAATATTCTGTTTCTTTAAAAACATTTGTTCGATGATAGTACCATGTGCTTCCCAACATTTTTAAGCAAACAAATATTTAATATCCATTAACAACGAATACGAAATCAAAACGAAACAATAACATCTTGTCTGTCGCGTTCTTTGTTTCGCGATGAAACCTCATCCTTCTGGACAAATACTAAAAGCTCGCGGTAAAACGTGATAATCGCTGTATTAAATTAAAAAAGAAACAAAAGAAAAAAAGAAAGAAATACTCGTAAAATTTGTATTACACAAGTTTGCTTGTAAAATTAAGAGTCGAGTCGTTCGTTCGGTGAGTGGTGAATATTTAAGTATAAACAGAACGCTGTTCGTACGTCAAGTGAGCGCAAAAATCAGATTTCTGAGAGATTAGCTTTCGTATGTTTTCGACGCAACCTCTGAAACTGGATCGATTTTCAAAGTTATCGAATTTCAGGCTGACTTCAGATCCACGGTGCCGCGATGCTTCCGTACGAACCAGCCAAGTATGAACTGTCAAGGATGATCTGCCTCTTTGCCTCCTTTTTATTGACGGCTCCAATCTAAACAAAGGCCTGTTTTAATCCTATTTTGACTCGAACTCAAAATACCCAGGCAGGCTTGACCGCACGGACGTGCGTCAAAATTTACAAAATTTTCATCGCCGCTATCCCTACGTCGTATTTCGAAGTCAATAAATATAGATCGCAGAGGATAGACAGCACTCTTTTCCAATTTGATTTATAGATTGAAATTTTTTTAAAACTTGAGTAAAAAGTTGAAACCTGTTTCGAACTGGTCGAATCTAAATAGAAATCTTTAAATTTCTTATCTAACCTTCAGCTGCTTATCGTTGCTTTGGTCCCCCTTTTTTTGTCGGAGATCTCGTAATGGGATGCCACTGATTAGTTTTTTCCCCAAGTCCAATATCTATGCATAAATAACTGAGTGATCCCATAAAATACGACTAATAGAAAAAACAAGTTTAATGAGTCTGCTTTGATATATATTCCCAGATAATAGGAAGTACAATATAAAAATTGTAAATTATGTTTCACGTCAGATCAAGCTTTGACCATACATATATAATTATACATAATTTATAAATATTATATTGTACTTTTCATTATCCATGTATACATAAAAGTATACATAAAAGAAGACTCGTTAACCACTTAAAATTAAAGCATATATTATATTAAAGTGAGACCTCATATACAAAAAAAAAATCATAATGATCATATTTATAACTGGTACGAATGTGGATTGATTAACCCTCTATGTATAATTCCTACTTTTGTATAGAAATTCCTAGTTGAAACAAAATTCAACCCCTCGCTGACACGACGCGCGCACGCGACTGACTCGAACCCGTCACTAGTCATCGATGCCGCGTCAACCGCGGCGCGCATTGTTACGCGACGAGAAAGTAGTCCGCAGCGGATGCAACTCGCAATGAAAATCTCTCGAAGTACGCTAGGACAGACGCTCGAACTCGTTAAGAAGCTTCAATTAGCGTCGTAGGCGAGCGGAATAGAAGTTGCCCCAAACGAAACGACGTAATTTCTGCAAAATATGCAACATTATGGCACGAGAATCGGGCGGGCGCGGCTCCCTGTACGGATTCAATCAGTGTCGTATCGCGATCGCGTGGCGCCCGATCTGAAAAATTGTTATCAACTAGTTTTTTTATTAAAAACTACAACGATCGAAATTATTAGCACGATTAAAGAAATATATATTCTTGATCATGGCAACATTAGCAACATGTAGCGATGTAATTATAATTGTTCATATACAATTGTTTAGATTTTTAAATGGTTTGATATAATTTGAGACTAATGCAAACACGATGGATTTTGAAAAAGTGGATGTAGCATTTAAAGAAATATTTTTACTGCGAATTACGTCTTATTTTATGTAAAAATGACTCATTCTCTACGTAAAACTTTTATTTATAATTTGACCTGCACCAGTTTACATTTAGATGACCCTTTACACTAGAAGCGAGTCAATAAAGGTCACCACGGTTATTAAAATTCGATGAAATACTATCATATTTAATTCAGTCGCATTTATTAACCTCTGAATTTTAAACAAATACAACTACTGGAGTTTTTCAAAGAACCGCTGAAACAAAATAAGGGTATTCCCCGGCTTTCTGCAAGAGTACTCTTGTGCCGGCAAATTCGAATACGATGTCATAAATCGTTAAATATCTGTCAAACGTGATTATTTTATTTAACTTGGATTCACCACAATTAATCCTTAGATAGTGACGTATATACATACGTGCTTCAGTATATTTACCTTGTACGAACGATAAAACACTTTTCTATATTTACCATTTAATGATACTATATCTAATATGTACTATGGCAGTCACTTAATTAGAACGTCGAGTTTCTTTAATAAAAGTGAAAAATAACACTTATACTATTATTGTTACTATCCTATGGTATTCGCAGTGAGTGTACAAATACTTCCGTGACTCATTGCAATTAAACGCCCCTCGATGAATCGTTTACGACCCGTGCATATGAAAAACGACGTTGAAATTTCAACGACGCGGGTATGATCGTCGAATAAAACTCGTTTGATCGGTCAATTTGAATGGAGATAGCACCGGTACGACGATTTCGTGAGATCTGTAATCTTGGTTCATCAAAACCGCTCGTAAATCTAGCCCTTGATGCTGGAAGTGATGTAACGAGACGCTATCAGCCGTGCTTTCCGTGCTGCTTCGAATTGCACAACATTGTGTGTCAAGGGCTACGCACGTTACGACCAGCCTTCCTGGACAAAGCGCACAGTCGTTCTTCGTGCAGGAGTCCTACGTTAATAAGCATTTCAAAGAGTACACACGGTGTTCGTGTGCATCGCAATGGGAATATATTTCTCTTTTTGCCGCGACGGTGTCAATCGCGGAATAAAAGGAGCAACCAAGAAATCAATAACGACTGCCTCGAGCTGTTCTCTTGACGGTGTTGAAATCTTTCGTACCTCGTAGAGGTTCTCGGGGTCGGGATCCTGTTGTACATCCACGATCATCGAGGAAACCGTGGAAATCTTCAATGGCTTGTTTACATTTTTAGCAGTCGACACCTTGTGTTCAACTATAGCTTATTCGAAATAAGTTAATTAAAACCTCACTCTTATTAAAATTTGAGGGAATTTAAAGATCCAGAGAATGGAGTTACATCGATCGTCAAAGGATCAACGATGGACGTGAAACGGCGTCGCGTAGAATGGTTTTCCCTTTCGTTTTTTTAACTATCTCTTTGCGATGATATAAGCCCACGTTTAAAAGCGACGACATACGCGAAATAACAGGAATACGATTGTTTCAGTTGCCTTGGAAATAAACGTACCGAGAGGAAGTTGTTACTGGATTACGTATAAAGGCCCGGACGTGTAACTCATAAAGTTATTTACTGTTTACCGCGACAAGCGGACGAGCCCTTCGCCACAGGAAATGCTTTCCGCGAGAACAAGTAACATAACTAAAATTTCGCGTACATCGACGAGAAAAAGGGACCAAGGGGTATCGTGCGACGAAAAGGGATCTTTTGTATATTAGATTTATTTTCGGTGGACGGGGTACTCGCGTGGAATAGTAACCGTGGGAGGGTCGAGGAATATAGTTTACTTTGATATTAAACGACTGGCTGTAGTATTAAATCCGTACAGGTTCCGACAGGTTGCCAACCACAACCCTGCTCCACATGTGGCCTCCACGTTTCACCCATGACAAACTCATACGAGACGGCGTACATCAAACCATAAACATATTCTCTCAACTATACGTCGAGCAGCTGGTGTGTACACAAAAGAAAGCTACCTGTCCGATACGAGCGTAGGGTAAATGGCATTCATAATACGATTGTCGTAAAAACAATGATAGCTTAATCTTGACGTTTACTACTAGCTGTATTGCATATTTGTGTCTCGATCCCCTTTCCGAATGAACTTATTGTAGTTCGATTCTTGCAAGTTAAACAAACGCAACAGGCATCGTAACTTGCGCGGTCCGAATTTTCTCGCGAGAGTAAATCAGATATTCGTGAGCGCCTATGATTGTATAGTTCAATTATTACATGAATAGGAATTTTAATAATTTGTTCTTTCTGTTAAAGGTTCACAGACAAAGGTAATAAGAAGATTAGAAAAAACAACAAAAACCATTCATGTTTACAGTATAATACCTATAAAATGAATAAAATTGAACTCGAATAGTAAAAGAGTGAATAAAAATAATATATAACAGTTAATCTGTCCCCTTTACTCCATTAAAACGCACTCAACGCAAGATCACCAGCAATGAGTATCGCTACAAAGATAATAGATAATTTTAATTTTTATTCAACTAGTATTCCAACGGCTGTGCGATCTTTGGAGATGAAAATTTTCACCTAAGTAATGATTTCACTCAATTGTGTTGGTAGGCGATAACGTAATTACTCGCGCGTATTTGGATGTCGGTGGCAAGAAAAGACAGAAGAGCGCCCCAAGTGTTCGTAAGTAGCGACGCGATTATCGAGCGATACCGACACAAAATATTCCCCAACGAAGCTAAACGAAGCGTGTTTGGTGGTGGGGCGCGTAGGTAAAGAGAGACGGCCCTGATGCCGGGTCCCGTAGCGGTGGGCATGCCCGCGGAAGATGGAAGAACAGTTCAGTCGCCTTTAACCGGCCTTAAAGTAAAGATCGGATCGCCGCCGATCGCCCCGTGCGCGTGCACAACAGAGTTAGAGCCACCGGCTTATCGTACGGATCGCGCCGAGAATGAAATTCTTTCTTTGCCCGGTAGAATACAGAAGCAGCGGCAGTGTCTCTTTGTATAGCAATCTTGACAATAAAAGAAAACGGCTGGAACGTTTATGGCCGAACGGCAGTAGTACTAGTGGCTGCATCGCCTGAACGGATATTTCACCAAGGCATTTTCCACACGTCTACTTTTGCACAACGTTGCGAAATACCGTGGCCGGAACACCGCGAATCGAATTGCTCGCTCGTGGCACTTCGATCGTTTAAAACCAGAAACGAGAAAGTAAATAGATAATACAAAGAAAACCCGGATAAAATTCGCGGGACGCGCCTTTCTTGTATCGGTTAGTTTCTTAGCACGAGATTCGAACTCGCGCCAAAGTGTGTTCCACAGTGGATACTATTTCTCTTTTGGGTTACAACAAGAAGTGGCCGATAGGTTAGTACCAGTGCATTTATTATCTTATTTCTTTTTACTTTTTTCGATCTTAGTGAATTTCTTTGTCGAATCGTGGGACGCGATCGACGCCGGCGTGACATCCAGAAATGGACGAAATTTGGCTCGAGTAGTAGTCGAGTCATTTTTATTCTTTTATTCAATTTGAAGTTTTTATATAACGAAGAATTTCGCCCATCTCGGGTGACACATACGCGGTCTCTGTTCGGACAATTAAAAGTGAATATGTACCCCACAGTTCGATTTATGGAAATTCAAGATATATACATTACACTTTTTATTGCCGCTTAAAGCATAAAATTTCCTAAATTTAGATTCGTTCGAGCGAAGCGTTTTCGATCATTCGCAAGGCATAGTGACGCTTATAGATTTGCAGACGCCTAGAGCTTTTCGGTTGGGCGCGGTGTTCCCGCCGACAATGATTTGCCAAATTATTCAAAGTTCCCGGTAGATTCGGTTCGCGCGTTTTTTGGTCATTTTCAATTCGAATTTCTGCACGTGTATAAATATCGATGAGACGTCGTTTGACAAAAAGAGAAATTCTCTGAACACGCTATATCAGGTTATGACTTTCTTTTTTGGCAACTGGCCTCTTCCTTCGAATTATACTCTATCGGTTATAAATAAATCGCGTAACAGTTGCTAATATCATTTGTACATGTATATTCACACTGTGTCGGATTTTGCCGCCAAAATACATACAGATCGATCTCTCGCGGGTAATGCTTGATATTTGTAATTAATACGAATAAATAGAATATAAATACCACTCTGCGCGCCGAGGACAGTGAAATTTGAATTTTTATACATTATTTCGAGACATTCTCAACTATAATTTAGTATCGTAGATAAACATTGTGTATATTCGTTTGAATTATACAGTTCCGAACGTGATTTTTGTTTTATATTTTTAATTTAGCGAATTAAGTAATGGAATAAAAATAAATAATTAGTAACATAAATTATCAGATTTTGTGTCGTTTCGACAATTTTCCTTTATGTATCTTCGATCATTCGAATTGTCGAACACGAATCGCCAACAATATTTCGTTTTTATCCTTTGCGATCGTAAGTCGAGTTGGGACCGACAAAACATCCACGCCCCGGCAAATACGACCGCAATGATTTTCACTGTTTGACACTTCTCACGGTGAAACTACTTTTGCCATCCATAAACAATTTCTCTTTCTATTAGTGTATTTTCTCTTCCGTTTTCGCGGTTGCTCTACTTCCACCGGTTTTAATTTGTTATGCTAATCACCGTCATAAATAATATTCATTCATATGGATATGATTTACAAGCCTCAACGTGTAACACATGTATTTACACAAATTATTTCAATGCTGATATATTCGTATTTATTATTAATATTAAACAAAATAGCTTGAACGAAACAAATTTGACGTTAGTGCAAAGTAAGGCTTCCGACATTAACATTTCTGTTGAACATTTTGTCTTCATAAAGTTTACCTATTGCATTATTTCGTCGTCGAGTACGCCAACGTTTTCCGTGTTTATGGTACACGAGATAACAGTTACAGTATATGACGAAAATCAAATGTTTGCGGTGATCTGTTTCGCGTTTACGCCTAGTTTATACCGAGAATCGCTTTGTGCCGATACTTGTGCATGTGAAAATGTATTTAGCGGAGATAAACGGTTTAACCGGTCTATTGCACTTTCTATCGCAATGTCGCAAACATATCAATCCGATTCTAGTTTTTAGGAATTCGTTCGGTGCGTTTGAACGAAGGCCGACCAGAGTATATTTCATTTCACTTTTGCCTGTATGATCGCGTCCTTTCATCCCGAGAAGAAACCCACTTTTAATTAGAGTACGGTAGGAAAGCTTGTCAGCTCGTTACACGCTTGAACGGTAGTGTTCGGCGGAAGTTAGCGAGCATACCGCCACCTATCCGAAGCTGGACCGGTTTCTGGTCCAATGTATAGGCAGAAAAGTTTGATCCATCGATCGTCGGCCGTGGACATGGAATGTGTACATGCCGTATACAGGGTGGGTCGAAAAAAGAACACGTATTGCCATTCACGAGGAAGAGGGTTCCGCGACTGAAAAAATAATCAGTGGAGAGTCTGTGCATATGAAACGGAAAAATATTAGGCAGTCTTAAACAAGCTTTTCCAACTCTCTGGCCTTAACATATTTAGTAGCAATTAATTATGTTTTACAATTTCCTCGAGAATCGACTATTAGTTAACACCGACAACATACGTATAGTGTTTCAATTATGGTTATCGAAAACTTTCACAGTCGACGTTCTTATAATTTATACCTTATACATTTTTTTAGGTGTACACCTTGTTACTTTAAAACATTTGCGACGTTTCGAGCGACAGTTAAAAATGTCCAGTTGATGACCAATGACCCGTGACATAACCATGGGCACTTTAAATAGACGATAACCAGAAAAGAACACCGTTTATACCGCGAAGCTTAAAATAGAATCAATTATTGCGGAATCGTTATTCTTGGAAACGGAACTTCCCGAGAGAAAAAATGTATTTTATCGCCTCCATTAATTTTGGCGCGTAAAATATACGTAGAATAGTATTGCGGATTGTACCACATTTTTCGGTTCACCCTTTGTATAGATTTTCGAAAGTTCTTTGATGGATTAGTCCAGTGTTTCTCAAACTGGTCCACGGACCCCTGGGGATCCCTGAACGTGTTCATCGGGGTCCTTCAGCAACAAAAGCATACTGCATAGGGGAATAAAAATGATTCTCAGAATATTTCATTGTTATTGAAAAATACTCGTTGGAGAGTTTCTGGTTGACAGTAGTAAAAAAAAGAATTATAAAATAAATAAAAGTTTTTCTTTGTCAAGATGGTCCATGGTAAAGTAAATTTTGAGAAACACGAGCCTAGCCATTCTTTTTCATCGTTTAAAGTTCATATGTTAAATATAGCTTGTGTTTGCGATAGTCATTTCATGGCTGTATTCTCTCCTCTGGCTAAGAAAAATGGCTTCCCTAATTTTTGTTACGAAAAGCCAGCTATGTACGTGTCGATGTTATTCGCACGCGCGAAATTGTTCGTACGTTTCTTCCAAAACATTCGGCTGTGTTTACTATCCGACGTCGAACACTTTTCTCGGGCGTTCGCAGAGCCTTCGAGAACGATTTAACGAAAGTTTATTGTTTTTGCCCTCGGCACCAAGAACATGAACACGTCGAATGCTTTCTTTCTTTCGTTTTCAAGGCCGTTCTAGGAAGGTGATTTCCCCTACGGGAGCGTCTTTTGTTCAGTTCAGCCGCTAAGTAGGGGCAACGAGACGCCGGATAATGTATCATTGTTTTTCAACGATGCGCGTTTTTCACGGGCGACCGAGTCACAAAAGCCACCACCGGTCTCTCCCTCCTTCCTTTCACTTTTTCTTCGTGTTATTTATTTTTCTGGTTCTCCTCGGCGGTTTTTGATAAGAATCTCACGATGAACGACTTGTTTAACCGTCAAACGTCATTGCCGTAACGCTTGTCAAAATATCAACACTCGTGTATACGGCACTTGTTTCTCGTCTGATTGCTGAACCTCGTTTATTTCTATTGCAAGGGCCCTCGATTGTCGGCCGTTTGTATTTTTATTATTATCGGTTATTTAGAATTTAACCTTATTTAACTTCTTGGAGAAAGGATTTGAAAATTATGCAAAAACAAAATTCAACAGGTTAAATATAATACACTGATAATAGAATAAATTAAACGAGCTTCAGTTGAAGTACTATTTCCAATAGTTTCAATTCTACTAAAATGATAAAAGCTCGTCAAATTTCATCGCATTCAATTTCCCGTATTTTTGCTATTTTTTGATCTTGGAGGTACCTTCAAATGTGAATCTATTTCGAAACTGTCAGTTCAAGGTGCCACGCCGTCTGAGGCGCATTTTATTTACTAATTCTTGCAAAAGCAGTCGTGTAGTACGAAAGCGACAGTTTTCGCGGGAATTGGGACACCGACGGAAGCGAAACGATGAATTAAAACATGATGGTGGTTCGTCTGCTGCGCGTCGAGAACGGAAGATAACGGTTGGCGAACGTCGAGGTGGGCTCAGTCGGCCGGATGTAATGTTTGCACTCTAATATGCTGATAATAAAACATAGCGTTGTGTCTCCGTCGCATTGATCCACGAAATGTGATACATTAGTGCGTGTAGTAGACGAAATTCGTTGCAATAGTGAGTCACACGTTTGGCTTGTCATTCCATGTGACTTCTATGCGTGACCACCGGCGTCTCGTACACGTCTTCTTCTGGCGATGCACCGCAACTGCACTCGAATTGTGCCAGTGTTATGAACTCCTATGTAAAGTGATGCGTCATACCGTGGAAGAATTTATATTTACACGCATCATCGACAACTCGCTGTTCTTCCCGGTATGATTCTATCCTGTTTGCATTCTGACTTCGACTATTTAAGTCGGTAAGCACCGAGCGTGACTGGTACGTGTTGATTAGTTGGCGCTAGCGCTAAATCTTGATAAAGCTGAACTTTCTTGATATCTGCTATTTTCTTCTTCTTTCGTATTTCAATGGAGATAGACCTGCGTTAGGACTTGCAAGATATTCTTGTAGGTGACTTTGCGGTGGTGTGTCTGCTCTCACCAAAACAAGGATAGTTCTGATATTATTACATTTTTTTTTTTATCTTAACAGTATAATAGACACACTTCACTGAAATATTTTTGCTTCTTAAAATATTATGAGCACATGAAAATATCCCATTAGAAAATCTAAATATCGCGTCGTTGAAAATCCTCTTTTTCCGGCTAAGCGTCGACTATAACCCGTGGCATGTTGATACTCGACGAGTGCGCTTAGGATTAAGATACCTATTTAAATTGACACGTATTGACGTAGAACCGGCTGTTACGTGAATCGATCAATTTATGCGACGAAATACATTATCGATTTTTCGAAACTGTCCTAACCCCTTGAGGGTAACACCTGGTGGCCCAAAAATGTACGGTTGGAACGGTCGTCCACGACTGTGAGAAACAAGACGCAACGGTCTCACGCGGCGAGGGAAAATGCTCTCTCGTCTAGGGATTCGGTGTTTGGCTGTGATTTATCGAAGGTCAGCTGTCCTTAGTGAAGGAGAGTTTGATTTGTTACTGTACGCGTTACCGGTTTTTTTCCAGTCTCGTTTCGGTGTCCGCGTCTGCGATTCGTCGCGGCAGGTCCTCGGTGTCATTCCCTTACGCTTGGAATGAACTCGAGAATTCTTGTCCAACGAAAAATCGCGTATCACGAGTGTCGTGTGTCACGTTGATCCCCTTCGTTAGGTTCGATATTGATTTTGTTTTGTTTAAACGCAGCTTTACCGAAGCGCGGCAAAAAGCATACAACGATACACGGCAACGAAGGTCGTCTATTTTTAATACACACACACGCAAGGCAGTTACGATCTTTGTCCATATTTTCATACCACTAACTGTATTCGTTTCACTAACTGTATTGATTCCCGCGATAATGCACAAGGCGTTACGACACGCGGTGCAATACCGAACGTTATTACTTGCTACGGGTGAAGCAACATGTCGTAACATCGAAGAGGAGGAGGAAATAAACGGACGAACGTTAAAAAGGCACGGTACGAAAAAGCCCGCAATCGAAGCTTGTTAATCTACCGTTGTATAATAATAACTAGACTTTGGTTAGTTACAAAGTATCGACTCTTATGGGTTCCCGCCGTCTTTTTGCGCGACTGGTGGTCTGTCGCTATCGTTCGATAGACAACCCGCGCTGTCGGCATTATAAAGAATCGAGTATTTTTTTTTCTTTCGACGCGTCTGGTTAGCTTCCTTTGTTATCGGACTTCAGTCATTTCAAAACAATCGAATTTCTTTGTAAGCTTTAGCTAAATATATCTCGAGAAATGATTCGAGACTCGAGAACGATTCACTCTATGTATGTTTGGAAGTGAAAATAGTCTATTCATCTTTCTTCAGATGATTTCATTTTATATTCAATTGCGGTGTTGCAAGTGCCACTTTTTAAACTTGTAACGTTTACAGGCGAGATGCCGGTGCCGGTTTGGGATTGCTCTGACCTGGGCCTGTTGGACGAGCCCCTGGACACCGCGATGGTGGTGTCCGACGACATATGGAAGAAGTTCGATATGGACAAGCTGGACCGAGCGGATTGTAACACGGACACGTATCACGATCGGAACATCGACGACAGTATTCTGCCCGACTTGCTATACGGCAAGATGACCTGTCTGGCATCGCGCAAGATACGCCATCACGACTGCATGTGGGCAGGTCTGTGCATCAGCAAGGAGCACAATAGGACGTTACCCGCGAAGAAGGACTCTCAGATACAGAAGAGAGTGCCGGCTGGTCGAAGTCTATTGATATCGCGTGCCAACACGGCTCAGACGGCTACGTCTTATGGCAACCAGCAACAGGCTCAGCAACCGTGCCGCGCGAAAAGTCTGGAGAGCGACGGCGATTCCACGAGGCCGGAAACACCCCAAACTTCAGCATCCGACACAGAAACGGAGGACGAGGGGCCTTTCTTCAGGCACGATCAGATCAACATACACGAGAAACTCTCCGAGTGCATGTCGGAAGTGGTCACCAAGGTTGTTCCGGTGAGCGAGGTCACCGGTCAGCTGGTCAGATTTCACGACAGGAGGAAAGAGGACGACAAAGGTCAGTGTCAAGTGTACAAGGAGACCAACATCAGGAACACCCTCAGCGATCACTGTTATCACCTCAATCAGCCCAAGAATCTGGAACACCTGGGCGTTCAGACACCCTCCGATTCTGGTGAGTGATTCCATCTTTTCGTTACGCGTTACTTCTGGATAGAGGCTGGTAGATTGTTTGTTGCCTCGAGGATCAAAGTTCTTTTTTTTTTTTCACGTAAACTAGCAAAGGCAATGTTTAATTTAACGGTTAAGTACTCGAGTAACAGATGGGACGGATGCCTATGGAAGGAATAAACAATTCTTTTTAGTGTTTTCTTGACACAAATTTTGGAGAACGTTTGCAGATGGAAACGAAATTTGTGTTAGAATCGGTGATGCATTCCAGACTTTGAAATAGCGTTTCATATGTTGTCTTAGCCTTCGTTTCGCAGTAAATAGCGTGAATGACAATTTCAAATGCAGAATGACTTAAACATTTTTTTTTTTATTAATACATCGATGGACTGGACAATGTATATTTTTGTGCATCATTTTTCTCTATTCAGGAACGAATTGATTTGCATAAACTAAAATTCTAATCTATATAACCATATTATTATGTATACTTATTCGCAGTAGTTCAAATGAAAATTGAAATTTCTTCTTCGAGACATTTATTTTGTCCAGTTCTTTAAATAATTTCTATATCCAATGAAAAATGCAACTTTCGAATTTATTCAACTAAATAAATAATTCTGGGCTCCGAATTTCCCCCCTCCTGTTCAGAGAACATCTTTCGGAAAAACGTCGAATAAAAGTATTACTTAACACCTAAAAAAGTAGGTAGTTTTTTTTTTTTTCAATATACCTGGTGTCTTTAAAAGGTAAGTGAGACCCGCTGACTATGGACAGGGTTAAACGTCGAAGGTTAAACGTTCCTTTTATCCCGATCGGAAACGTTTGCTCCCACATCCGCCGTGGCATCGATAAGTTTAGTCATCGCCTCGTTCTTTCGTGCCCTCTCAATGGAGCCGGCAAGGTCGAACTAAGGATCCTCTTAATCGAGTGCAATTGACGGCACTACGGAGTGCACTTCGCCGAATTTGGGTACCCGCATGAGTATGCTAATCGCGTCGCGGTCGCTCGTTATTGGTCGAGGCGCGGCTGAATACGACACAATCGTGAAACTCGTTTTAAACAAGTTCGGAGGTTGGTACACTAACGTTTCCCCCCTCCGGGTCAACGGTATCCTTCCCGCGAAGAAAAAAGAAAGGAGTCGTGAGAAATTTTTCGGCGTCGCGGATTCAAGACTCCACCCTTAGCGAAACGAAACGCGCGGATTGCACGGAACAATAATGCTTTTGTAGTTTGCTCAGGCAATTCGGTAAGCGGCAGTCGCGCAAGCATATAGTTAGCCGCGCCGACAAAAAATCTTCCTTCCCCTGTTTTCTGCGCAGGTACAAGAACAAAAGGGGAAGTGCCCGATCCTTTTGTACTTCGCGCCGCATAATTTTCACATTTTCAAAGGTGAATCCTTTCTTGCGAACAGAGAATTGCTTGTTGCGTGGGCGTAATTTTTTAAACGGTACCTATTTTACACCTTAGTGTCTCTCAGATTTAAATTTTCAGCGTAGAATTGAATTGATTCGTGTTAACACGATGCAAAATTTCTATTCAATTTGAGTAGTTTTGTACGAACAACACGATGAACACGGTGCTGCTTCTGAAATCGATAGAAAATTCTCGTAGAAGAAGACACGCTTGATGCAATAAAGAGACAATTGACAGCGAACAACTCGATGGAATGTATAGAATCCTTTTGAATGGAAGGGGAGGTGCCCTTTCAAAGGTAATCTCAGCATTCGTGTTGCCAGACCTCATGAATACTTACGATATTTCCTCGGATACAATAGATTCCCTTAGATAGAAACTCTGTATCTTTAACGTAATAACACCGAAGACTATACGCGACGTACGCTGGGCATAGAACGTAAATGCACTTTAATTGCTATGTACGCAACGTTCGTTTGCTTTCAATGACAAGAATGATTGCTATCAGAGAAGACGCGACTTGATAGATTATTATTGCATCGATGGCAACCGTTAAAAAGTCGCATGTATTGAATACGTGTCAAGGTTAAACAAATTTTTTTTTATTTAAAAAGTCAGTCGAGAGCAAAACGACGGCTCGAAACGTTTGTTAAGAGTCGGGTTTCAACATACTATTGTGTGGCTAATAAATTCTTCATTATTTTCTTGAGTCACTTAACTGAAATATTAATCGGTACTGTAGACAAAAAAAAACAACTCAAATTTTTCTCCTTTTGTTTCTTGCGAACAGAGACGTATCAATTATTTTTATTTCATTCCCTATCGATGTTATATAAACAGGAACGCAGAAAGCATTTAGCACGACCACTCGCATGAAAAATCCATGCGTCACATCGACATTCTTGGAGTGGTCGTTAGATTGTCTCATACGCGCAGCTCGCGATTAGGTTTCCAGCCGTTCCGCGAGCATTTTCAGGGCACGTCGCGCATCCTCCTGGTGTTGGTAGATTTTCCGTCGCATGCCTCGTTCGCTGGGTCTAACTATAGGGATTCCGGGGAGAAGTGATTTGGCGCGAGTCACATAATTCGCTTGGGCCGTACAGTAGCGTCTGGTCGAGGAAAATTGTGCCGTTTCGCCACCTGAAAATATGTTGCGTTACATGGCGACATCTTAGGTTCTATAGATACTAGGCACGCTAGCACACGTGCATCACACGATCTAAACCAGTGTTTCCCAACCATTTTTGCAAAGTTGGAATATTTATGGAATTAAATACTTGTTATTGAACGTTACTGTTATATTGGTTTTCGGTCCTCCTCAGATGTAATTAATTTTAGAGTTGAGGAACATTATACGATATTATATAATTTCATATTACTAAACACTAGGTATTTCTGGTATTAGGTTGTCCAAAAAGTTTCTTCCATGACTTGCACTCAATTACTTTGTGTGGCAGTGGTTATATAAATAGACCCTAATTTATTAGATGTTAATATTGTATAACAGTAATGGAGCAAAATGAATCGTACACAATTTAATAAAGTAACATTAAACATGAAATATTGTGTACGTATTACTTATTCATGAAATGGAAGAAACTTTTGGGACAACCTAATATGTATATATTCTATACAAAAAATTAAAATAAGTACGTAATTATTTTTAATGTATCGCAATGTCAATAGTACATATCACTCTCCTTTAAAATAAGAACTTGACGTCTTTCTTCGAACAATGAAAACTGTTTCCAACCATATCTTGTCATTAAATTGTTAGAAATTTGTTCGCGACACACCCACTGTTGCGCATGAATCTGTCGCGACACACCTGTTGGAAGCACTAGCCTAAACGACGTTCGGCGACTCGTGTGCTTTGTTGAGTATGATAGGAGAGCATGACGTGGAAAGAGTGGCTCGACGACCGTCGGTGCACACACGTGTGTCACTGCATTTGCACGCACGTGACCAAACACTTACGTTCGGACAGTCTTCTGATTATACATCATATTCGACGACATAATCACCTATCGGTCTATTTTTCTTCCTCGTGTCATTATAATATTCCGCACGCGAAGGAAAACTGTAATGTTCATTTAGCTGCTCGACTTAACTGTTGCATAGTAATTTGCACGTGGAGCTTATTTGTATTCATAACGTAGAAACAACGTTCGTCAAGGTGTGGTTCACGGACCACCAGGAGGTCTACGGAAGATGACAGAAGCGTGTGTCGCGTAAGGTGTTCTGGTAAACGTGCCACTACCACGATCCATAAGTTTTTCTCTTTTCCAAATCGAAAAGAATACGAATTTTAAACATCCGAGTACAGTTGTGCAGGACTTGAAAAATGATTTAATTCTATTCTAGGGGCTAAAAATTTTTTTCGTTTAGGGAGTCCAGTTTTTGTTTCAATTCAAAGATACAACACAGTGTGTAGCGAACCAACGCAAATTGATAATTCGATTAAAATTAAAATTAAGAAGTTGCCGATCGACTCGAAGGTTTGATCGACGCGGTTAGAGTCTAAGTAGGTGAATCGAGGGTTAAGATGGCGAGAATTTGTGACCAAGGACGTCGGTAGGGTCTTATAAAGTATGCCGTTTCCTGATCGCCGAGCTTAATGGACGAAGAAGACGGTATCGTGCGACCGGACACACAGCAAATTCGGGCTTCGTGTTGTTGTCGATGTCACTGTTCGTAATTGGTAATTGCCAGGGCCACGACTTGCAAATGGCTACTTTTGACCGTGACCAGACGGGTCAGTGAAACGCCGAGAAACCGGTGTATGGCGAACAAAAGCACAACCTCCTTAAGCGTATTAATTATTACTTAACATCGCTTTCAGCGAATCTAGCCACGTTGGTCGACACACTGGCGGTTCTTTACGACTATCGTGAAAATACATAGTTATAAACTGCCAATTACTAAATAGGAAAGTCCCTCTTCTTCGTTTACGCTATCATTTAAAGAATATATCGAGACGTTCAAAGGAAATTCGAGGCAACAGCGCAGCGCCTGGGAAGAACCGATTTTCCTCTCGATATTTTCTTCGTTATTAAAGATGATACGGACCGGTTTATCGTCTGTTCTGGCTCTCTACTAATTTAATCGCTAAACATTGCTACTTAGTGGAGTGCGATAAACATACGACATTTCGTTTACTTGTGCTAGGGAATTCCGAGTAAGAAGTTGTTTAGATGATTATTTGAAATTTTTATCAAGGAATAGAAATGATAAATTCTTCTCTGTTTTTTAAAAGAATTGTTTGAATTACGACAAGGCGAGGGTCAGGGATTCTGGACCAGAGAATCGCAACGGAAACGCGCATACTCGCTGTTCTCATCTATTACGTGAACTGGGAGGTTGCGCCACATTGCGTGAAGTCTATGATAGCCGACCCATCATTTACCACCGAGTAACAATAAGTTACTTTTTTCCTCTTACCTTGGTACAACATTTCGAATTTAAACGGTTCGGAAAAAGCAGATAAAATTTTTTCTTTTGGTTAAGATAACACTAAACGTTGTCATTTGGATTATTATTGGCTTCACGGAAGTAATTTTCGAAAATGCGTTCTAAACTTTTCGCTAC